GCTTTGTGCATGAACTCACTGCTCAGCCAATGTATGAAACATACTAATAAAGAGTATTGCTTTGTAACTATGTGGTGAAAGAGAATCTGGACCATTTGGTCCAGCTTGCCAGGATTGTGTATTGATACCAATGAGATGAAGGTCTGCACCTGGTTCCAGTGAGTCCCTAGAGATTTCTGATGTTATAACTGGCTATCCAGAAGAAACATATTGCTTGGCCAGGTAAATATTAGTCTCTAGCCAAAATATCATTCTGGGATTCCCAGTTTCAAGATGTGCCATGCATATATTATTGATTTCTGATACTTGAAAATAAAACACATTATTTCATGATTCTTAGGAATAAACCAGTTATAGCTAAGCTCACATCTGATGTCTGTAAAGCCTTCATCATATATAGTCCTTGGTTGTAAAATGTACTTATTTAAATTTGATCATTAATATGCTATATACATTTCTTCTAAAATATTGCATATTTATAAATATTTTCCTTATATGTTCTTAATATTCTTATGCAACCAGCCTCATGTCAATCTCAGTTCCCTCACCCTCCTCTCCCCCCAGCCCTCCACTGACTTCCTATCCCAAACACTTTCTGCTCACTAGGGAGGGTGAGGGCTTCCATGGGGGATCTTCAACGTCTGTCATATCATTTAGAACAAGGCCTAGACCCTCCCCAGTGTGTCTAGGCTAAGAAAGTATCCCTCTATGTGGAGAGGACTCATAAGACTTATTTGTATACTTGAAGTAAATATTGATCCATTACCAGTTGCCCCATAGATTGTCCAGATTTCCAAACTGACTTCCTCCTTCAGGATATGCTAGTTTCCCTGCTATCAGTCTGGGGTCTATGATCTCCCTGTTGTTCAGGTCAGCTGTTTCTGTGGGTTTCTCCAGCCTGGTCTTAACACCTTTGCTCATCACTCTTCCCTCTCTGAAACTGGATTCCAGAGTTCAGCTCAGTGTTTAGCTGTGGGTGTCTTTGTCTGCTTCAATCAGCTACTGGATGAAGGCTCTAGGATGGCTTAGTTACAATGATAGATATAAAAAAAAAAAACTTTCTCAGTAACATGGCTACTTCCTACCTCTTCAGTAATTCTGATTAAATTACTATACACAATTGTTCCAAAACCCTGATTGGGCACAATACCTTACATATGCCAGTAAACTATTTGGTGGCAAGTACCCTCCAAATACCTATGACTTAATTTTCATCCAATTACAGATTCACAATTTCAAAAGCCCCACTTACAAAGAGAAACAAAAGAAGAGAACCACTCTTTCTGCAGTAGATGGCCTTGCCAAATGAAGCAAATCATGTTGATTCTAGTGGGTGAACTATGAACTAACATGGCACAGAAGACTAAATTAAGCTATTAAATTATTTTCTATCCCAAGAAGGGATACTACAACTCTAGTAGAAATTAATATAACATGAGATACTTCTCAAAAGACATACATGTAGTCATAAGGTAAAAATATTCATATATTTTGAATTAATTGTCATGCACATATCAGAAAATGAGAATCTCGGGGACCATCTTGGAACTCTACTACCACCAGGTGTAACAGATGATATTGTGGTAAACCACAAGCCTCATTGAACAGGCCAAATGATGTAAACAAGGAGTTGTAACCATGCAATTCACATCTTCTAGAATGTACTATTCAGAATGGCTGTCAGAGAATTGAATTCAACCTCAGATGAGGAAAAACCTCTAAAGAATCATCTGAAAAAATGCAGATTGTTGTTTTCTGTTTCTTTACATATCTCCATATCCAAGAGGATAAATTAGTGGATCTGGAAAAATTACCATGAATGTCATACACATGACAGCCACTTATGTTTACTCCCAATGATACATAGGAGTAGTTTTCTGCTTCAAAATCTGGCACTAGATATTTCTTTCCACAAATGGGATGCATTTTGCATTGGGGTATAAAATATTTTCTATATAAGAACAAATATCATTGAAGCATTTTGTCTTTCTTCTCAATAACTACCATTGTAATATAATAGCCATGACTATAGTTGAGAACAGTAAGAGGAGATAGAGATGTTGGACTAAATACTATCAGGGTAACAGCTACAGAACTCAGGGACCACTATTTCTGATAGTTCTTTGCTGGACAACTGATAATACAACTTAAAATATAATTTGTAAGGACAAACAACCTACAACAATTTATACCTGAATCACACCACCTGTACCATGAATACTTCTGGCCGAGCAGGTTTCACTGCCCTTCTGTGCCCCAAAGAAACACAGGGACACTTTAGTAGCACAAATCTGTTGGCCAGTGACTATGGTTTCTTATTTTCTATTAATATATGTGGTCTTGGCTTACTGGGAATGCCAGACCTGTAACTTATTTACCTTCTACATTGTGACTGCTTAGCATCTCCACAGGGAAGAGAGCAATTTTCTGTTTGTCCCTGCTTATATTCTGATTCTGCCCAGTTATGTCACACACTGCCTGTCTGTACAGATCTGCAGACCTCTATGATTAGTTAGTTGCAGTTTCTGCCCAGCTACCTCACTTCCTGGGATCATATGACGACTCCTCTCTGCCTGCACTTCTCCTTGACTCCTAGTCCTACCTACATCCTGCCTGGCTAATCAGTGTTTTATTCAACAACCAATAAGACATACAAATACAAAAAAAGAACATTCCCCATCAACCATTAGATAACCAAAAGTGGGAGTGTAGATTTATGGAAGTAAGTTTAATTAAGGATGAGTTCTGGGTGAGAAAATGACACTGGCTATTAGATAGGGATATGGCTTATTCTTTCTCCAGAAAAAGAACAGCTCAAGAAAATGGAGGAATATTTTTGGAAATTATGTGTTACCAATAAAGGGTGAGTCACAAGGGGCAGTCTATTATAGTCAACACCAGAAGACTCTCCACTGTGCTGCACAAACCCTCTAATTACCATTGCTTTACTCTTCTGTGTCCATTTTTTAATAGGGAAAACATGTGTTTCTGAAGTTTGATGTTTCCCCTGTGAAGGAATAATTTAGTGGTACTAACCAAGAACAAGTTTTCAAAACTCAGGTTCCTTTCAATAGGCAAGAGCTCACTGGCCTGGGTGAACTTTTCTTAGAAAACAATGTTGTCATCTAAGAATTTTCTTACATAAGCCTCGTGCATTAGAGAATATGATAGGTGTTGCCATTTTGTGGTTCAGTTTGTCTCCTGGGGTTCCAAACTTGCCAACCTTTTCACTCAATAATTCTCCTGTTTAAAAATTGCAGTTACTTTTTCCTGAAAAATGACAACTTCTAAAAAATGCACCCTCTTGGATTGATTAGTTTTCTTGTCACCTTGACTAAATATTGGACAGAAGTGATTTGAAAATGGAAGGATTTACTTTAATGTGCTTTTTGAGAGAGATTAGTCAATTGTTATTGGCTGTGTTTTGAACAGAAGACCATGAGGGTTAAATAATGTACTCAGGGAAAAATGTTCACCTCCATAGCATAGAGGTAAGAAGAGTACTGAAGAGAATCTTACCAAGAGGAATATATCCCTAAGGATCTGCCCCCTGTTGCCTAGTTACTTGAGCTAGGTACTACTTACTAAAGTTTCCACTCACAGCTCCCAAAATAACACTGCTAGCTAGGAGCCAAGCATTCAGAACATTATCTCATTGAAGAGATTTCAATCTTAGTCCTTACTGTTCTCCATTACAAAATGTTTAACTACTGAAAATGATAGCATGCTTCAGACAGAGCCTGTGAAGCAGTTGTTGGGTGAGAAGCCACAGGAAGCCCAGACAGAGTCATTACTGTTATCCACTTGAAAAAATAACATCTGGAACATAAGTGGTCATGCATATGAATTCCACTTGGTATAATCACCAGCTCTTAGTGTCCTAAAGCTCCTTAAACTATCTAGTAACATGCTTTTCAAAGTAGTGTCTTCCTATCATCCCTTTTCTGTGAGATTATCAACATTGACTGGATTCTAAACAAAACACCAAGCAAAAAGTGCTGCTGATTGTGAATACAACTCAAAGCCTCCCCCCCCCAAGTTAGGGAAATTGCATTAAATATTTGCACAAGTAATGGTTATGATATCTTTTATTAGAACTACTCACTGCCCATAGATACTTAAAAATAATTTTTAGATGTCTATATTCTTTGATCAGATTGATGTTTTGATTGATTTGATTTTATTGAGTTCAATACTTTGATTAATGTGCTTTTAAAATTTAACTGTTTAAGTTTTATACTTTGTAACACTTTACAAAATTGTTCTTAATTCTGAAGACTATGTTTGAAATTTTAACATTGCTTTAATGAGAGTTATTGAAGTTCTCCAACTCTGAGCCCCCCTCCCAAATTTGTTTCTCTGACTTAAATGTTCTGAGCCAACTTGTTACTTTCTTTCTGTTTCAATGGAGTTATGGTATATATTACTGAGTCTATGTCTTTCATTCTTTATCTAAGGATCTCATTTTGATGAACTGTATTCCATGGGACATCCTTATATATGTAAAAGGGAAAGTTATGATTTGACTGTCCAAAGTTTAAGATTATTAGAATATGATAGAATATGATATAAGAACCAGTTGGGAATGGGTGTTGTGGCAAATGCTTTTAATTCCAGCACATTGGAGGCAGAGGCAGAAAGCTCTCTGTGAGTTTGAGACCAGCCTGATCTACATATAGTGAATTCCAAAACAGTTAGAGCTGTAGTAAGACTCTGTCTCTGGAAATTCAAAACCCCAAAACAAACCAAAATAAGAATACAAAAAAACAAACAAACAAACAAACAAAAACAAAAAGCAACAAAGAAAAAACTAGTTGGAAAAATGTTTTACATCAAACATATAAGACATTATTTATAATCTTTTAAATATTGTTTGTAGGGGAAGCTGTAGCCACACCTTCTTAGGGGCTGGCTACAGGTGTGCCTGACCAGGGTTGTGAGGGCGTGGTCAGAGTGATGTAGTGGTACTGCGTTTTTGGTTTCGGTTTCTCTTTGCTACTTGTGGACAGGCTGCTGACCCACCGGCTGCTAGGTCGCTCTGTAAGTAAGGCTTTTCCCTATTAAATACCCTTATATTTCTACCTGACTACTTATTGGTAATTTCCCACTGTAATTGTTGTTGATAAGAATTTTGGTATAAAACTGATTCTCAGTTTATTACCAGAGAGGTCAAGGACATCACAAGAAAACTCACAGAATCAATTAACTTGGGTTCACCTGGACTTATATGACTGAACCAAAACCAGGGATCCTCCATGGGTCCAACTTAGGCATGATGGGGGATGTCCTTCTGTATACTGTAAATATATGTTTCTCTTAATGGTTGATGAATAAAGCTGTTTTAGCCAATAGACAGGCAGGATGTAGCTAGGCAGAAAGTATACGTGGTGCTACAAACTGAAAATAAAGCTGAAAGGAGGAAATCAAGGAGATACCATTTACTTAGGGGGAGATAGGATGCCTGTGTACTCTTCAGTAAGTCAAGACCACAGGGAGATACAAATATTAGCAGAAATGTGCTAATAATTATAAGAGACATAGCCAATAATAATCAACAGCCATTGGCCAAACAATTTACAATTAGTATTGACCTCTGTGTGTTTATTTGGGACTAAATGGCCATGTGACTGGGAGGGACAGAAACTTCTGCCTGCTTAGGCCCACTGCATATATGTTACATTTGTGTAGCCTGTTTTCTAAGGGGACTCATAAAAGTGGCATAAGGGGCTTTTACCGGCATTTGGAACCCTACACTTCATACTGGTTCACCTTGTACAGCCTTAATAAATGAGAAGGTGCTTAGTCTTACTGCAAGTTTTTATGCCATGTTTTGTTGGCAGTCATGGGAGAACTGCTCTATCTTAAACAGAAATAAAGTGGAAGAATGGGAAGTGAGAACAGAGGAGGAATGGGGAGGAGGGACTGGAGGAAAAAGTGGGAGGAGAAACTCAGACCTGGATGTACAAATAAATGAGAAATAAATTTATTAAAGACAACAGAATGAATATATAAAGCATTATTTTATTATCTTCTAAACATCATTTTTGGGTTGAGAATTTTGTTGTAAGACTAATTCTCATTCTATTACTATGTTTTAATAGAAAAATATGCATTTAGCCCAATTTTATTTTACATATGTGAATATTTTGTCTGCCTGTCTGTATGTGCAGCACATGAATGCCTGGTCCCTTTCGAGTCTAGAGTAGGGCACTGTAACTTCTGGAACTGGAGTGACAGAGCGATCTGAGCCACCATGTTGATGGTGAGAGAAAACAGCAACAACAAAAACTGAGGTTCTGCAACAGAAGTAAGTCATTTGAATCACACAACCAACTCTCAAGTCCCTTTTGCTATTGCCATTTTTTAACCACAGGAGAAAATAGGTCATTTCCCATTGTGATAGTTGGATTTTTAATTAAATAATATTTAAAATTTTTCTAAAATATTAAATCAATTTTTTGAGAATCAAATTATTTTTATGGTATTTCTGTAGCCACTTCCTTGTCTATGTGAACTAGCAAAGAATTTATCACTTGTTTTAATTTATCAAAGAATTTCTGTTATATAGTATCAAAATTCTTCAGAGATGACACAATACTTAAGTCGTATGTTATTTATAACTTAAATACTAAGTTATAATCAAAAGAGAATGTGGTAAGTTAATGTTTGATGTTATATGAAATCTTGTTTCATAGAGAATCTGCTAGAGCTTTATAAAGTTTTTAAATACATTATTAGCTTAGTGTGATATTGCTGCACAGAAAAGAAAAAAATTATATTTGTTTCAAATATGAAAGAGGTGTAAAAGAAATGTAAAATATTTCTGTTGTCACTTAAAAGCAAATTCTTAGATTTATAAGACTATTTTTCTTTAACTCCATAATTTCAATCACCGCTTTTTTTTCAAAATAACTGATAAAATGTTGAGAAGAGAGAGCTTGAAATTTTAAACTTTGTTTTGCATTTTCCTGATACAAGCAGTGCTAATTGCCTTTCCATGGCAAATGTTAAGCTTATATTAGATTTTGATCATTATGGAGCCTACAGAAATACTGACCTTGACCAATTTACTTCAGTGTCTCTGGTATATAGATATAACACAGAGCAGATGGGATGTGATAATTTCCTACTTGTAGTTAAATACTGTGAAAAAGGTTGTAGTACTTGAGAATGATTTCATCCATATTTACATCGCATCTGCTGTGCATGTTTAGAAGTAGTTCACTAATTTTGTATAGATTTAGGATTTTCTAAATGGGTACACATATTTTGACCTACTGTACTTTAAGCAAGAGCATAGTTGGATTAAAAGCTTAGCTAATTAAAAAGAAAAAAGAAACAATTTTAAGTAGAATGTGAAATAAAGGACTAATATCATCTTACATCTCCAGGTCACAGTTCATCTTTGAAAGGAGGTGAGACAAAATATATATATTATATATATATTATATATATATATAATATATATATTATATATCCATTTTGTCTCACCTCCTTTCAAAGATGAACTGTGACCTGGAGATGTAAGATGATATTAGTCCTTTCCCCCCATCTAAGTTGCTTTTCCTCAGGTGATTTCAAAAGTTATGTTGATGGCTTATTTATTTTTAGAAGTTTAAAATCTGTATAAAACTTCAATTATTAAGTACTTTTAAAACTTAATTTTTTTTTGCTGCTGTTTCGACTTCTGTAAGTAAGCTTTTTTTTTTTATATCTTTGCTTCTGCAAAACTTCTGCTTTCACAAGAACAAATTGAAATTTCAAATTGTGACTTAGCATTCTTTGTCTTTAGAAACCCCTGACTTAGCCAGACGGGCTCTACATTCTGGAGTCCTAAATCCCAGGTGTAGACCTGAGGACAATACCTTAATAAGAGCTTCTTTTTTGTTGTTAAAATTTATTAATAGTTGCCTGGCGGTGGTGGTGCATGCCTGTAATCCCAGCACTCGGGAGGCAGAGGCAGGCAGATCTCTGTGAGTTCGAGGCCAGCCTATTATCCAGAGCGAGTCCCAGGATAGGCTCCAAAGCTACACAGAGAAACCCTCTCTGAAAAACAACAACAAAAAAAAACAACAAAATGTATTAATACTCATACTGGTAATCTCATAACATTTGGGAGCTCAAATGGGATTTGGGGCGTCGGAAAGTTTCACCTTTCTCTGGCCAGCCTTGGGAGCCTACTAGATCCTAGCCTGGTCTACTGGGAGATGAGAATTCGGATTGGTCCAGCATTTGGTGATAGCCACCAGCTATCAAGGTTTCAATGTTTACCTTGTGAGAAAAATAGGCATCAAAAAACCTCCTGGGGGCCCGGCGTTGTTGGAGCACGCCTTTAAGCCCAGCACTCGGGAGGCAGAGGCAGGAAGATCTCTGTGAGTTCGAGGACATCCTGGTCTCCAGAGCAAGTTCCAGGATAGGCTCCAAAGGTACACAGAGAAACCCTGTCTCGGAAAAAAAAAAATCCTCCTGGGGTGTAAGTAAGGATTTTGGCTTTTTGTGGCAGGAGTTCATAGGACTCCTGGAAAATTTGGGCATGGTGTTAATTTCCAAGTTGGAGGGACCACCAAGATGTCACTGGCCTTTGTTGGAAAAGCCAAGATGGAAAGCAGGCAGTTGGGTTTATGAATAATTGTGGTCATAAATGCTTGTTTTGTGTGAACTGTGAGATTGTTCTAATTTATTGATTGATGGATCTGTAGCTTTTGGTCTTGCAATAAGCTTGTTTCAAGTGTTGGAGATCAAACAAGCAGGCTAGGGAAAGAGTGAACCTGTAGTCTTACTGTGGTGTGGACACACTTGGTGCACACTCCTCCCTTGCTGGTTCATCTTTCAACATCCTGGTGCAATTCAATCTGTCTATAATCAAGACTTAAAATTGTCTTATCTTCTAAGCTTTCTTTGTTCTCAGCTTATTCTGTTCCATCTCCCTGCTTAATGTATTAAATTTTACAGAGATATGGGTGTCTTAGGTATGAGTAATATTAAGTTATTGTTTTATGCTATTCTACTTCAAAGAAAAGCTTGCTCTGGTGTTGGGTTATCCCCGCTTTCCTTAGTCCCAAGCATGCTTGATTTAAAGGTTTCCTCCAATTTCTCCACCCTATGCGAGGCAGGCAATTTAACTGTTTGACAGAGAAAAGAGAGTAAAGAAAGACAAAAGGAAACATTATTCCAAATGAAAATTACTGCTATTCATCTCACACTCCTTTGGGTTTTATTTTAATTGCCTAAAACGTTTGCAAAAAGTATGGATCTTATCTCAAGATTTGTAAGACTGTCATGTAAACTTTCTGTATCTCAAAATTTGTAACTTTATTTAGTATGGTTAAAGAGTTGTAAAATCATCAACAAGAAGTTGACTTAAACCTTGCAGCAAGAAGTTTGATGGTTGAAAAAAGTATACATAGGCAATCTTAATTCACTACAGAATACTGTATGTGTAACACAAATTCAACTCTGTTAAAGGAAATGAATGTTTTTGAATAATAATGGGTCTACAAGGTATTTTAGTTTTGGATGAATTATTGCTTGGTGACTCTTGTCCTGAAAATAAGAATAGCAGAAGAAGAAAAAAAAATCATAAAACAGGGGTTATTTTAAAATTAAGAGAAACAACACTACAAAGTCTCTAATGATTAAAAGTGTAATATTTTTATTCCTCTTTCAAGGTAATATAAATGAAGCTTTGTCTACAGCCTTCAATAACTCTTTGTAAAAATATGGCTAAATACCGATCTTCTGAATGTCAGCTTTAGCTCATAATTGTTTCATGGGTTAAGGACATGTTTGTTTCTGGATGTTCTCAAAAGTTCTCAACTTCAGTGTTTTATATATGCAAAATTTCCTTCATGAATTTTGCCAATTCTAGTCTTACTTTAAATAAAGGACTATGACCAGATGCATACCTAAGCTAGTAGCTTAGCAGCTACTAGCTCAGGATTCAGAGGAATAGGCCTGATAAATTCATTCAAAAAAGCCAAGGCAGAAAATAAAGCCAGAGGAGAAACAAGTAGGAAAGTTTCAGAAAGGAAGAGATCTTGAAAAAATAAAATCAGGCCAGGTCATCTCCTGGCTTAGTGCTACTTTCCTCTGGCCAGGTTTTGATGCCAACCTGACAATCACTATCAGGGAGATAAATTGTGAACAGAGTTTTGTACAGACCAAGATGGAAAAAGAGTTGTATTATTCTAGATAAACAATAACAGAGGCTTGATAAACAGGGTGAAGATGAAAAGTGACAAAAAATAAAAATTTGGTAAAGGAGAAGAGAAGTTAAGGAGATAGTTCCATGGCTATGACTACCAAAAACTGACAGATTCTTCTTTCATGACATAACCTAAGTATTTGGGAAGACTCTATAGATATTCTTATGTAAGGTCTATTTAGGCTATCACAAACCAGCTTGAAAAATCTGTGCTTGTCCTCTCTGTCTTTACCAAATTTGCAAACATCATTTACTTGGATAAATTGGGTCATGCAAGAAACTATGATATTCTATAATGATGCAATTTAAAAGGATCAAAAATTAAGATTTACAGGCTATGGTTTGCATTTAAGATTAGAAGTTTTTTTGTTTGTTTGTTTTTTGTGGGGGGTTGGAGACAGGGTTTCTCTGTGGCTTTGGAGGCTGTCCTGGAACTAGCTCTTGTAGACCAGGCTGGTCTCGAACTCACAGAGATCCACCTGCCTCTACCTCCCGAGTGCTGGGATTAAAGGCGTGTGCCACCAACACCCAGTTTAAGATTTGAAGTTTTACATTGGTACTAAAAGAGCTTCTATTCAAGAATTGTAATGTTTAAGACTATAATTGAGACATGGAACTTAATAGTTACATTATATTTTATCAGAACTCAACGTTATAATTTATCAGAACTATGCATGTAGTCATGCTAAAAACAAATAAAACTCATTGACAGGAATCATTATTTAATCATCAGTATATGTCTTCAAGGTTAAGCTTAAAACACGTAACTAAAAGCAAGAAAAGTTTACTTAAAGTCAGATGTACTTAATAAATAGCCTTCAAACATTCTTCAGAGATTTGTTGAATAAGGCTTTTGTAGTACTTAATGAAAAAGGCTTCCAAAGTAAGACAACAGTCAGATTCTAGAGGCATCCATAAAGTCTCCTCCAAAGACGATGGTAAGGCCAACCAATTGGAAATACTACATCATGCCTTACCTGTCTCCAGGATCTAACTGAAACTGTGGATAAGCTGGACACTGGAAAATTGAACACCCTATTTTTTCTTGCCAAGTTAGGCCAACCTCTCAAGTTCTTCACTCATAAAAAAATCTGTATCTTTTA